TCTGGATCTTGTGTGCTTCTAGATAAATTTTAAGATCAGTCTATTAATTACAGTAAACAATATTGTTTAGATTTTGTTAGGGATTGTACTGAATCTGTAGACAAATCTGGAGGAGGACTGCCATCTTAATAATATTGAGTCTTCCAACCCGTTAATTTGGAATATCTCTTCATTTAATTAGATGTCACTTTAATTTTCTTCAGCAATATTTTCTGATTTATTTAGTATTCAAGTTTATACTTATTTTATGAAATTTATTCATAAGTATTTTTAAAATTTTAATACTTTTGAAATGTTAGTGGCTAGTGTGTAACATATAATTGATTTTGCATATTGTTCATTTACCTTGAGACCTAGCCAACATTGTTTATTAGTTCTAGTAGTTTTTTGTTGAGTTTTTAGAATTTTCTACATGTAGAAGAATCATGTCTGTGAATAAAGATAGTTTTACTTCTTTCTTCCCATTTTGAACAACTTTTATTTATTTTCCTTGCCTGACTGCCCTAACTAGAATCTCCAGTGCACCACTGAATAAAAATAATAAGAGCAAATATACTTGCCTAGTACCCAGTTAAGGAGAAAGCCTTCAGTCTTCTATAATTAAAAATGATGTCAGCAGTAGGTTTTTTAAAGTCCTCTTTATCAGGTTGAGAAGTTCCCTTCTATTCCTACTTCATTGATAGTTTTTGTTGTAAAGGGGTGTTGGTTATTGTCATAGCTTATCTCCATCTCATTACATGATCATGTGATTTTATCTTTTTATCTATTACTATGTTGAACTACATTTAATTGATTTTAATTATTAAACAAACACTGCATTAGGGATAAGTCCCTCTTGGTTACAGTGAATAATCATCTTTACATATTGTTAAATTTGATTTACTAATATTTTGTTCAGGATTTCTGTATTTGTCTGCCTTTGGTATTGGAATAATATTGGTCTCATAGAATGAATTTGAGAGTATTTCCTTCTCTTCTTTTCCCTCAAAGAATGTAAGAAAATTGGTATTTCCTTTTACATATTTGATAGAATTCACCAGTGAAGCAACAAGTTCTAAGCTTTTCTTTTTACTAATTCAGCTTCTTTACGTCATTATAGGTTTACTCAGATTTCTTCTTTTTTCTGGATCAATTTCTGTAATTTGTGGCTTTCTAGAAATTTGTCCATTTCTTCTATGTTGTTTAATTTCATGGCATAAAGCTGTTCATTGCATTCCCAAGGGATTCTCCAAAGTATTTCCAAAATAATCCTTTTAACTTTTTAAATTGGTAGTGATTTCCAAAGCATGGCTGGTTTTAGTAATCTGATTTTTTCTTGGTCAGACTAGTTGTTTATAGTAGTTAGTAATATATATATTATAGTTATATAATATACATATATAGTTATATATATAACTATATATATATATTTAGTATATATATTAACTATATATATATATATATATTTAGTAATCTGATTGTTCCTTGGTCAGACTAGTCTTTTTTCTTGGTCAGACTAGTTGTTTATAAATTTTGTCGAGCTTTTCAAAGCACTGTAGTTGGATCTTGTGGTTTTTTTTTTTTTTCTTTTTTAAAATCCAGTCTGACAATCTCTCTTTAAATTTTTCCCCATGTAATTTGAAGCTCTATTATTACGTGCTTAAATGTTTAAGATTGATATGTTCTCTTGATCAACTTACCCTTTTAGTATTACAAAATGACCTCCTGAGTCCTTGGTAATACCCTTTGCTCTAAAGTCTTACTTATCTAAAATTAATATAGGCACTTCATATTTCTTTAAATTCACATTAGTAGGATATATCTTCTCCATCCTTTGAAATTAAAACTCTTTGTGTTTTTAAATTTTTTTTTTTTAAAGATTTTATTTATTTATTTGACAGAGAGATCACAAGCAGGCAGAGAGGCAGGCAGAGAGAGAGGAGGAAGCAGGCTCCCTGAGAGAGCAGAGAGCCCGATGCGGGGCTCGATCCCAGGACCCTGAGATCATGACCTGAGCCGAAGGCAGCGGCTTAACCCACTGAGCCACCCAGGCACCCCTGTGTTTTTAAATTTAAAGTGGGTTTGTTATAGGCAATATATAGCTGACTTTGGCTTTTAAAAAATCCAATTTGATGATCTCTGACTTTAAATTGAAGTATTTAGACTATTTACATTTAATGTGATTGATTTAGTTAGTTTACATCTATAACTTGCTGTTTCTTTTCTATTTGTCCCATCTGTTCTTTTTTCCATTTTCCTCACTTTCTATATTCTTTTGGATGAAATGGATACTTTCATGGCTCCATTTTATTTTATTTTTTCTATTGGCTTATTAGTTAGTTATAACCCTTTGTTTTGTGGTTTGGGGCTTAGAGCACACATATTTAATTGATTCGATCTACTTTCAAGTGATATCACACTTCTCATATAGTATGGTATAAAAATGTTATAATCATACACCTCTATTTTCCTCTCCTAATCTTCATGTTGCTGTTGCATATATTTTACTTTTACATATGTTGCAAACCTTATACTACATTGCTATTTGTTTTAGCAGCCAATTATTTTTAAAGGTATTTAAACAATAAGAATAAACCTTACATATTTCCCTCTCTAATAATCATTTCTTGTGTTCCCTATTCCTTTATATACATCTATATTCTATATTTCCATCTGGTATCATATACCTGAGGGATTTCCTTTAATATTTGTTGTAGTGCATCTCTTCTGGTGATGAGTTCTTTTAGTAGTTGTATGTTGGAAAAAAAAATCATTATTTCACCTTCATTTTTAAAAGAAAAACAAATGGGTTAGAGGTCGAGATTGATATCTTTTTCTCTGAGTACTTGCACTGTTTCCAATGAAAAATCTGCAGTCTTCTTTATTTTATTTCTCAGTTACGTATCAAGTCTGCTGTCTCCACATGCTGTATGGTTTTTTATTATTGGTTTTAAAAAATTTAATTATGAGGTACCTTCATATATTCTTATGCATGTTTCTTGTGTTTAGAGTTGATTGAGCCTCCTGGACATGTGGGTTTATAGTTTTCATCAAATTTGGACAATTTTCAGCCATTATTTCTTCAAATATTTGCCTCTCCTCTCCTGCATGACTTAAATTACTTGTGTATTAGGCAGTTTCAAGTTGTCCATTGCTCACAATGTTATTTTTTAGTTCTCTTTTTTATTTGTGCTTTGTTTTGGATAGTCTTTATTGCTGTTTTTCCAAGTTCACTAATTTTTTCTCTACAACGTTTATTGTTGTTAATCTCATTCAGTATATTTTTATTTTAGACATTGCAGTTTTCATTTACAGATGTTTCATTTGGATCCATTTACATCTTTCATGTCTTTACTTAACATTTGGAACATAAGGAGTATATTTCTATAACTGTTTAATATCCTTGTTTACTAATTAGAACTTATGTACCAGTTCTTGTTGAGTTTTGATTCATTTAAATCCTTTTTATGTTGTTTGGTTGTTTTTTTTTTTTTTTTTTTTTTTTGCATGGCTGGTAATATTTTATTAGAGGCCAGCTATTGTGAATTTTCCATTGTTATAGGTTAGATATTTCTGTACTTCTATAACTATTCTTGAGTTTTTGCTACATGCAGTTGTGTTACTTAGAGACATTTTGATCCTTTTAGTTCCTGCTTTTAAGATTTTTTTTTTTTCTTTAGGTGATACAGTGTCAATCTAGGGCCAAATATTCTTCACTAATGAGGCCAGGACTTCCGCACTCAACCCAATGTCCTTTGAAATCTGATGTTATCCAGTCTCATGGGGGGAAAAAACAGACATTATTCTCAGGCATTATTACTTCTATTCTTTTTTTGGGTGGTCCTTTCTTGAGGCTTGGGTAGATTCTTCCATTCATTAACTAATCAGTACTCAGCTGAATGCTTGAGAGGGACTCTCTGAAGTTCTTTGTAGTTCTCTCTGTTAATCATTCTCTCCTCTTCAGTAGTCTTTCCTGTGAACTCTAGATACCATTGTCTCCCCAAACTCTTAGTTCCATCACCTTAGTTTTGGGAGTCCATAGGCTCCATCTGCCTTCTCTTGCCCTATGTTCTGTGCAGGATATTCTTTTAAATTGGCATGCTAAGGCAATTTTAAGATTCAGCTCATTTGTCTTCCTACTCTTAAGAATCACTGTACTTAGTTGCCTGATATCCAATGTTATTAAATCAATTGACTTATATATTTGTCCATTTTTGTTGTCTGATGTAGGAAGTCCAGTCCCTTCTATTCCATCCTGGTTGTAAGTGGTAGCCTTCCTCAGTAGATCTGAAACTTTAGTGTGCCATTCCTGAAGCTTTTTATAATTATTTCCTAATCCTATTCAAGAAGATAATTTTTAAAAATATAAAAGTTCATTAGACTAAACATATATAAAATATTTTCATATTAAAAGTATTAAAATTAAAGTAAGTCCCAATGACCAGTTATAAAATTTCACATTAGTTTAAAATATCTTGACATACTCTTTGCATGTGTGAATTTAAAAATCATAATACATTAGAGTAACAAAAGTAAATCTATTCAGCTTTCCTTAGAAAATATGACAGAATAGCTAAAATGATGGAAACTGCAGCAAACATCATAGTTTTAATTAAATTTAATTCAACATACTTAGTATTTTTAATACTAACCCTCCATAAGTTAGAAACATTAAAAACTGTTTTCATATAAATTCAAATTTTGTGAAACAATGCACACAGTAACACAGAATATATGCACCCATATTTCATTGATCTAATAGTACCATACTAAAAGAGACAATATTAGACATACTGAAATAATAAATCACTATATTTCAACAAATGGTTTTTAATACCAAAATAATAAAGATGTAAACATGGAAATACTGGAAAAGTACTACAGGCAGAAAAAAGAAGCTACTAACATTTTGTTCAGGAATTTAACATATGCACAATAACCAGACAAAGCACAAAACAACAAAACCAATTAAACTGTGCATATGAATACATGCATTTAACACTGTGCATGCTAAAATTTACCTGAAATATATGAACATAAGGCTTTATCTGGAAAAAAAATGTTAAAATAATGTCAAAAATACATTTAAAAATCATTATATGTAATAGGGATATTGAAATCTAATCTCCACTTTATAGTACAGACTGTATTTTAATATTTTTGTTATAAAATAAAAAAGGCATACTAATTTGGGATAAAATAAGATAGAAAGACACATCATATCTGAATTAGTAAAAAATCCAAGTATGTTAGCAGAAATTCTGATTAAATGAAATCGTTACAGGCTAAGAGAAGGTACATAAAATAAAAAATTAATAATAGACCTGCCTGCATATTAATGGCAATCAATTTTATCTAATAATACATGGTTATATAACAAACCATGAAATGTAAGTGGTATTGGTTCCACAAAGAAATTTAGCATGCAGTAAACAACTAATGAGCTTAAATTGAAGGAATCTTAGAAAAACACTATGATTTCGGAGTCCTTGATTTTGAAAAAGTATATTTTAAAATTGATTTCTTTTAGAGGAAGAACAATTTGAAAATTTTCAGGGAACAAGTTATTTTGATATGCTCACTTGATAAAAATGAATATATAGAAAGAGAAATTGTCACAAATAAGTTAACAGAATACAAATTAGTTATATTTTTTCTATATAAATATTTATAAGGTTTTAAAAGGTAGGAAAATATTAATAAGTTGTTTTCACATTGAAAGACAAGTAAATTTTCATATGAATATCATTAGAAATTTAAGGGAATGTATGAACTATCATGCCATAAGAATACCAAAGAAATGTAAATATGCCCTAATATCTGGAAAAATGTAAATATTTATCCTGACACATCTAAATCATTAGCCCAAAGATAGTAAGTCACAGGGAAATAAAATAACAGATACAAAGGCTATCACAGAAACTTAGTTTCTAATGTTCATATGAAAGATTTAAAATTTGAATGAAATTATTCTGGGCTTTATTTAACAAACAGAGAAGTAGGATATTTGACAATATTTTACATGATTTATTTGTCTGATTAGTAATCTATACAGTGGTGGAATTATATAAAGTATTTGGGGGAAAAATTACTATTCTAACCACTGTGTAGGAACTTCTGAGGTTAGAGTATAACTGTAGGAATTCGAAAAAAAATTGTAGAGTTGAATTTTATAAATATTGTAACATTTATCTGGACATACGTCCATAAACACAAGAAAAGCTGCATCAACTAGCTTAAACTAGAACATAAAAAAGCAACAACATAAACTTTCAGGTTTGACCAACACTAACCCCACCACTTCATTTATCAGGTTACCAAGTTACCTTCCACCATTTTCATTTAAAAGAAATTTCATACATTTACCATATATTTTTAAAACCCACTGTTACTTTTTTCTGAGTTTCCTTCCATTGTTTTCATGTACAGCTTGTTTAAATACTCACTGGGTGTTATATGCAACTGAATAATTAAACATTACATCAAAAACTAATGATGTACTTTATCCTGGCTAATTGAACATAATTATAAAAAATTTTTAAAAAACAGTTGAATAAAATAAATTACTATTAACAATAAATAAAAATAAAAATAAATTGATTATTTTCCAATGTGAAGAAAATAAATACTCATGTATATTTTTCTAGCCTTTTAACATTTTTACTTATTATACTTAAATTTCATTAAATCTAAAATTAATTTTGACATACTATATAAGGAAGTGGTATGCTGGTAAATGTTTAACAACTATCCATCTGGAGAAGAAAAACCTTGATTTGTAGTATTTGTAAATTTCCACAATGTAAATACTCCCAGATAGCCAATTCAAGCTACCAATGTCAATCTGTGAAGAGAAGAAATGTGCACAACTGGCTCTAGTTCCAGCATACCATCAGAAACAGAATTATTAACCATACTAAAGTTAAAATACAATAGTAGAAGAAATCCTAGGTAAAGTCACAAACATAAACTGAAAAATGAGACGACTGAAGATGCTTTAAGATGTCAAAAATTCTTATATCACAAAGGAAAGGAAAACTCTGAGAGTAATAATAATAAAGAATCTCAACATCCAAAAAATAGACAATGAAAATAACAAAAGAAGAGAAAAGTTATAACAATCTTTCTAAATGAGAAAAAAAGTAGAATAAAAGTAATATAAAGAAAAAGAATTTGTCTAATCAATAGAGCACACATGTATATAATTGATAGTACAAAACTGTCTTACGAAGAGGTGATCACAAGACATGTAGCAAAAAGTTATAGGAAAAGTGTAACAGAAAAGTGTTACACAGTTAATAAATAAAATTATCATGTTACAAATTGAAGTAAATGTCTACATTGAAATCGTATTTTACATACTGAAACAATTAACAATTTTACCAGTTTTATAATTCTTCATAGATATCTTTGTATCATGTTAAATACTTTTTATTAAAATATTCATAATGATGATATTCATGCTCATATTGATTTACACACATATGCAAATTAATGCTAATATAACATATCCAAACCCTAGAATTTAAATGGATAAATAGTAAAGGAAATATTTCAGTTGTGGTCTTCTTACTTTACGTCACTCTACTGTTGAGCTGTTTTATTTTTTTTAAAGATTTCATTTTTAAGTAATCTCTACACCCAACGTGGGGCTCAAACTTACAACTTTTAAAAATTAAAATTTCTACTCATTATTAAAAATTCACAATTTATAAAAACTTTTTAAATTGGAAAAAGGTATAAATATTTCAAGCTACTCAAGCTTACATTTTAATTGCAGGGATTTTAATAATAAATATTAAAAATACGTCCCAGATATACATATTTATATTTACAATCTATAATATACATATTTAACATAACCTTCCTGTAGCATATATATAATATTTTTTAAACAATGTATATATTTTGGCACAAACTGTGATGCTGAAAAATGTTGAAAGAGATTTTTATGAGGAGAGATAGGGAATTATTTACTCATTGTGACACTTATCAATTGGAAACCATTATGGTCATTGCTTAATTAGACCTTATGATCTAGATGCAAGCAAAGACATTTCTCTCCTAATTTTTTCCAATTCAGTTTACTGCTTTCCCAAATTTATCTCTAATATAAATATCATTTAACTTTCTTCAATTTCAAAATACATGAGGTTTCATTTATAAGCAAGGTAGGTATTTGTTTATATGGTATAATGAAAGGAAACCCCCCCTTAAAACATTTTTTCCCTCATGTTGCAACACATCAAGGAGAGGGAATACATCATGTTAAGACATTATTGTACTACTTCTTTTAGTCTTCTATCCTCAAATTATATTTAAAAATGGTAAATCTCATAATCCATAGCCTGCCACTCAATGCTTTCTACATATAAGTCTTAAACTATCTAGATTTTATGTCTTAAAATTTATTGTTATCATAGCATACTTAATAATTTATTTTTCTCACCTCTATTTATTGAAATCTTACTTATTCTTTTAAGCCCTAGCTAAAATGCTCATCACAGTTAGCAATATTCTCTAATACCTTCACGTAAGGTTACAATTTTAGTTTTATAACTTTCCTATCTATATATAATAAAAAATTATACAAGTTCCAAAATTATGGCATGATCATGTACTGAGATATAAATTATGCTTTATTATTCTTACATTTTTATATTTTAAAGAGGTGGCAAGTTTTTTTTGTGTTTCTTTTAACTAGGGAAATTAATGTTTCCAGTTGAAAAGAAAAATGACATATAGAACTTTACTTTCCATACTCTAGGCTTATTAAGGAGATTTTGCTAGAGGAGAGAAATAAGAAAGGAGTGTAGAGGGGGCAGAGAAAGGAGGAAAGCACTGCTGAAGGCCAATATTCCTCAGAATTAGTAAGGGGACAATGATTAGAGAGCTTTGTGAATAATAGGGAACCAGGCTCTAGGAACTCTCTACAGTCCAGTGATATTTTAGGATTCTGGGATGGTAGCTCCATGATCAAGCTGGATTCTAAGGCCCAAAGAACTAGCATTAGTAAAAATTTCTATGCATAGACCTAGATTCAAATAGGACAAATCAATGAAGCTCTAGAAGGATTAAAAATTAATGGGTCTTTTCTGAATATTTTCCTTTTTTAAGGCTTCCTAGAACCTCCATTAAGAGATGCGAGTAGGTAAGGAGAAGGAAAATTGATATTTGACTGGAAACATAGATACCTAAGTAAAATTAAATATAGCTTTTGAAAAAAATGTGTATTTTACATGTAAGTTTGTGAATAAGAGTTTTATTGATATCTAAATATCATGTATCTTTGAATCAATCACAAGCACCATAACAAGTAACTAAATATTTGTGGATATAAGTAAAATAATGTGAATTTCAAAAGAAAGCAAGAAAATAAAAAATAAACAATATTGTGTAAAATATTAATCACAATTTGTAAGAAATTACATTAAATATAAATGTATTAATTACTCCAATAAAAAATAAGTCTTGTCATAACGGATTTAAGAAGATGAACTTTCTATTGTTTTCAAAAGATAAACCTTAAATATAAGGACACAAAGAAGTGGAAAGCAAAAGAATTGAGAGAAATACACCACACAAAAAAATGTTAACCAAAGAAAAGCAGATATAGCATTACTAACACCAAGCAAAGAAGGCCTTAAGGAAAAAGCATGCCTAGATATAAAAAGACATATTATGTAATGATAAAATTATCAGTCTATTAGAAAAAGCATAACAATTTAGTTAGTATACACCCAATAACATAACTTCAAAATCCATTAAGCAAATAGTGACAAAATTAAAAGGAAAAAGTCCACAATCATACATAGAAGTGTTAACAACTCTCAATAACCAGTGGACTAGTCCGATTGAAAAAAAAAAAAAAAAAAAAGCAAACCCAGATTTGAACAACAAAACTGATAAACCTGAATAACTTGTAGAACATGTACAGAACTGTGACAAAATAAACATTCTTCTCAAGAACATTTGCCAAAATTGTTACACAAATCACCATAAAGAGAGTTAGTAATTTTAAAGATTCCAAATGATTCAAAGTATATAT